AAAATTAAACACGTAATTCTTAATACTAATTTTCCTTATTCGACTTAAGGATTGGCACACAACTTGGTTTCATACTGCTTTATAGGATTTAGCGCGGCAACAGGGTAACGAATCAGATATCAATATTTTCTTTTTAGATGGATTCATTTCTTCGGCGGCAGGGGGGGATCATATTTTCTTTTTACCAATTTCTTTCATAGAAGCGGCAGCTTTAGGTTATTCACGCGAACAGAAATCTTAGTTATGTCACATCTCTTATTTTTATGACATATATACTTATAAGTGAGCTCAATAATTACGAAAGCAAAATACAAAAACCTGTAATAAGTAACCGGCTTTATCGTAATTTTATCGAAATTACTTCCAAAGAAAACGAAAAAATTCGAACAAATGACAGAGAGTTAATGTTAAAAATCTCAGTATTATGGATTTAACTTGGGTGCCCCCCATCCCAGGGCGGCTATAAGTGTAAGAGGATGCAAGGGATTTTCTCTTATAGTAATGTATACCTGTTGCCATTTATGTGTTTATCATAAGTGTTCTTTAGTACGCGTGGACAATAAGTACCAGTAGTATTTAGTTACTCTTTTTTAGTTATTTTGATTTACCATTTTGTGGACGACTAGTTGTGAGGATATGTATATGTGTGTCATCATATATGTATTTATATATATATATAATAAGTGTGTAATGTGTTATGATGTGCGAGAGGAGGCCGCGTCTGGTGTGTTTCTTGTGTAATTGTGTTCGTATCTATTGGTTCATGTCATAAGTCATAGTGTCTGTAGTGTGCTTATTCAGTATGTACATCAAGTGTGTAATGTCGTGTCGTTCCATCGTCATGTTATAATATATATGTCAATCAGAGTTCTGTAGGATATATGACTTATTCAGTATGGTTTCATCAAGTTTATTTGGTACATTTCTTGTTTTATCCATCGTTTCAACTGCATATATATATATATATATATATATATATATATATATATATATATATATTATATATATATATATATATTTGTGTGTGTGTGTGTGTGTGTGTGTGTGTGTGTGTGTGTGTGTGTGTGTGTGTGTGTGTGTGTGTGTGTGTGTGTGTGTGTGTGTGTGTGTGTGTGTGTATATATTTGTATGTATAATAAATAAATATACATATATAGAGATAGAGATGACAACACACACACATACATATATGCACATACATGTGTGTGTGTGTGTGTGTGTGTGTGTGTGTGTGTGTGTGTGTGTGTGTGTGTGTGTGTGTGTGTGTGTGTGTGTGTGTGTGTGTGTGTGTGTGTGTGTGCCGAACAGATTGCTTCTCAACCTTATTCCTGTGTGGTCAGTCCAAAAGAAACATTTATTACTTTTGAACAAATAAAGACATGTCCTTAATATTTCTCTCACAAAATATCACATAAATATGAATACTAGAGATAAGTAAAACAGAAAAGGAGTCACACTTCGAAAACCAATGCAATTTCAATCCTCATCTTGACTTACCTATGCAAAAAAATGTGGATTAAATATGATAAACTTTGATCAACACGTAAAAGCAGTTTGTTGCAAGCGAGGCCGTCACAAAACATCACGATTTGCAAAAAGTGTACAATAAGTTAATTACACTTCAAACGGTGTAATTCTATCTCTATTTTCGACCAAGATTGAGGAGGCCTGATATTACATTTATGATGGCTCATCAAAGCTCAAGGTAAGTTACTTCTGAGTGCAAGAGAAAAACCGTTTTTCTCTTTTCATTGTGTGTAAAAAAATGCTTAATGTGGGAAAAAACACGAAACAAAATAGACACTAGACTAGATTTAGTAAATGGAAACAAACGAGTCACGGCTTTAACAAACACACGCACGATTTTTGCGTAAGAACATTTCTGTTACACCTTTCGAGATTTTCCTCATAGCGGCAAATTGTATTCCTGGCGACTTTTCGGAGCTTCTCTCATTCTGAGTGACTTGACAAGTTCGTGAGTGGACTATAAGCAGCCTCCAGGACTCCCGACTCCGCCCACGCCACTCCTTGTGTTACAAAGAGCACATTAGCTTTCTGTCCCCTTCCCAGATCCTCCAGTGACAGACTGGCTCCTAAATAATTGCCAACTGACCATGGATACGATATCAGCTTTGACGGTCGACTTCAATATCTCCTTTCGGAATGAGAAACTTCATTAAGCATCGGGCGACTAAGTAGCTGCACTTTAGACTCATGAAAGCAAATGCAGCAAATTTTAAGAAACGACGCAAATCTAAAAATGAAAGGATTGTTTTTTGGCCAAAAAACAAACTTTTTTTTTCTTCTTTTTTGATCCAACAGAAAATGAGGAAACTATTTTATATTTCATGGAACGTGCTCTGATTGTTTCTTTCCAGCTTTTTACTTGTTTCTATCCATATGATATTTTGACAGATGTTTTACAGGTCGTACCATGCCTGAAGCATACCACAGAAAGAAATTTACTATTAACTATACTTTATTACCTAGAAGTTCCTTATTCTTTGAGGCAATTGGTAGAGACGCTTATGAAAGGGGTCGTTGAGGCCGTTGCAGGTCCCCCACCACAACGTTAAATTTCCCTTTTCTACTCTATACGAAAAGGAAAAGCAGTTGTAGATAGGTATATAAAGATACAACATGCTTTCGGTAGTGCTCAATAACCCTAAATAATAACAACACGTATTAAGTCAGCATTGTCCAGTAAACACACATTTTTCCTGAAAATGAATAAGTGAGATCACCCCTTCGACACAACCATTTCGTTTGGTGATAGAATCTGACTGTCCCCGAGACCGTTCACTTTCGAAATCCGATTGTGATGAGAACGTGTATCCAGCTGCTTTCCTTGTATAAGTAAAGTAAGAAAACAACAAGTAGTAAACACTGATATTAAATTATTTTAAGAGAAGCTTGCACACCAAAGGACCACTGACGAAGTGATGAGTTGTTTTTGGGAAGATAAAATACTGTTGTACCTCGGATTCTGTATTTAGAGTTAGGCCGCATCACATCTGTCTTTCATCCAGAGCGTACGACAATTTAAGAAAATTACCTCCTCAAAGGCTTTACTCCACCATAAGCCTAAACTGAATAAAGCAAAACAACAATAGCTCTTTGTACTCGAAACAAAGCAAGGAGGTGAGCTAGGTACCTCGTGGATGGTTCTACACAGCACGGTTTCGTCCTGCAACACGTACAGCTTTATGTGGGCTAAATGGTCACCTATTTGGTAATCGAACAATCCTTAGACTAATTTAATTTACGCCGAGGAGACCAATGGCGTAAAATGTCAATATGTAACGTAATTTCCCCAACTCACGTACTGACCACAACGCCCAGTTAATCTTAACAAACAAAATCGTTGCTTGCATAGCCGTTTGCTGTTTATGTAACACACGCACAAACACATTGACAAGTCTTACGTATGCTTCCTACATTGCAATCGACGATTTTAGAACGTGGCATTAACCTTGGTCTTCTTTTTTTTCTTTTTTAACTTTTTTTTTCTTTTCTTTTACGTAACTCGCAAATCCAACGATAATTTTTGGTTCTCTCCCAGTTCAGTGAAGCAGCGAGAACACAGGATCATAGTTTAACCTGAAACACCCTTGGAAACTTCTTTACAGTGGCAAGGATATTGTTCGTGATTTTATAGGTATAACAGCGTCATAACTATAAGCTAAAAAGCTGATTTTCAAATAGGTTAATAACAAAACCAAAATTTTAATCACTTTTACAGGCATAGATGTAGGACAACTCAATGACATAGGCAATACGGTACCTCGCTAGCCCAAAGAAAGAAAGAAAAAGACATAAAAGAAAGAAAGAAAGAAAGAAAGAAAAAGAAAGAAAAAAACAACTTGGCGAGTAACTTTTGCCAAGACATCTTCCTTGGGGTCACTTGGGAGCGTTTTACCAGCGATTTTTAACAAGATTTCTTTCTAAAAGTTGTTTCTCGAAGGATTCACTCTCGAATCTTACATCACGGAATAAATCTGATATTATATTATCCAGAAAGTTCGATCTGGTAGAGATTTGAGAGGGATCTTCTTGAGGGATAGTTAAAAAAAATAAGTGAATTAGTAATGGTAACGATAAAGATGATGATGATGATGATGATGGTAATGATGGTGATGATGATGATGGTGATGATGATGATGATGATGGTGATAACAGTATGGATGATAATAATAATAATAATAATAATAATAATAATGATAATAATGATAACCAAATAAAAACAGAAGCCTATAATTTAACAATTTAACGACCCCACGACAAGCAAACATAATCAGTAATAATAATAATATGAAATCCATACACGGTGAAATTAACTCATCTGTTTATGAAACGAGGTAATTATCGTCACCGTATTCATAACAGCAGCCACAATGCCCATAAAATGGCGGACGAAAAAATACTGTTCCTTTTTTCTGTATCGTGTAGTCAGCCCTAACAAAGCTCACTCGTGTTGTGTTTATATTTACTTGTTCAGTACCTTTTCGACGCCAAAAAGTTCAGCGATATACAAGAAAGTGGGGTCAATTTTAGTATGTGTATCTGCATATGCTGATTTTGTGTAATAATTTTATTATAGGTTAAAGTATTTACGTATATGAGTACACGTGCGTGCGCATAAACACACGCACACACACAAATGTACATGATATAATATTAATGTGCATGTATGTATCTGTATTTATATACATATATATATATACACATATAAACACACACACATCTATATGTATGTATGTATATATCGTTTGTTTGTTTCTTGCATGTATGTATATATATGTATATGTATATGTATATATATATATATATATATATATATATATATATATATATATATATATATATATATACAACAATGACACAAACAAACACACATCTATATGTATGTATATATCGTTTGTTTGTTTCGTGCAGTGTTCTTCACCTGCCTGTGTAGTACTACTACCATCCTAACAGTGAATTCATTTCTTCCTTTTCAGGACCTGCCAGATGTACCAAAGCGTCGGTTAGAAATACAACTGATAACATCACTGATAAGACGTTATTATAGCACTGATATGATTGATAGCAATGATAGCAGCAATAAGGATAAAACCTAGTAATTTAGCGGAGGAGACCGGGCCCGTATGTTCCCAGGCGCCATAGGCCTAAGCATCGACCAGAACCATCGACTGCAACGATGCCACATAACCACTACGGCCCATTCAACGGCCCCGCGAGTAAGCTATTGCAAGCCCTTCATTACAAAAGCAAATAGCAGGATGCTTCTCGCGTCCCCTTCCAGCCAGGCAAGCACGCCCACGAGCCGCCCCCAGCGCTGACACTCGGCGTATGGACAAAGTTTGGCACCATCCCTCAACAGACGCGCAGTTCCAACCGAAGAGGAAACTGCCGTTTGGCAAGAGCTGCGACAAGGCCAAGAGCAGCGCCTAATCCCAGATATCGGCGCAGCGAAAGCCCGAGTTCACCTGATCAAATAATTCTGATAAGACAAGATGTCGTAATCAATAACCCAGAGACGCGTACACCCTCTGAACCCCACTCCCCAACCCCACCCCACCGCTCGCATTAGCGCGTCTGGCGGCGTCTGGCAACTCGTTCCCTCTCGCAGCGCTGACCTTGAAACACCAGCCGTTTCATTACAATTTCCATCAATACGCTTTGATTATCTTGCAAAGCGCCTTCCCTGTGAACGCACAACCACATAAACCACCCTTAGAGGCACACACAACAGCCCAAAACAGACAGCCAGCGTCCTTCTGGCCTCCAAGAGAGAGCGAGGGAAAGAGGCAAAGACCTACGCTAAAAATAACATTGATTCTGGCGCCATCAGCTGGGTTGCCCTTGACCGTGGCTGCCGAAATGCCGCAGCTTATGGGAGGCGAGCGAGGGAGGCGGGAGGCCTATGGCGCGGGCACATGTTGCGTGCTTCTTGTCTCAGCTGTTGCTAGCGCCCGCTCCTCCTGGGGTGGGCGGCCGGCCTCTCCGGACTTCGCTTTGGGCTTGCAGGAGGGCGGACTCAGCCGCAGCGCTATACGTCATGACCAAGAGAGGTTTACGAAAATTCTTTAAAACACAATTGAACCGATTTTTTTCATCATTATTCATACCGGACTTTATTACTGTTTTTGCTACCATAAGCATCATCACTGGACTCATTGCTACAACTACCATTGTCATTATCATTGCTTATCATTGCTGTTTTCATTACTACTACTTTTAACGAGGCTAGCTGCCATTATAACATCAATAAAAATAATAATGATAAAACAATGGTATTTTTCTTACTACCATTAAAAAGCACTATTATTATTGTAATCATCATTATTATATTACAATGTTATTATTTATTATTATTATTATTATTATTATTATTATTATTATTAGCATTACCACTACTGCTAGTAATTATTTGGTATTATTGTTATTATTATTATTGTTATCATTATTTTACTCACCAACACCACATTTCCCTTCTAAATATCACCATACTACTTTCCTTATAGTCACAGTTGCATTTCGACTAATATTATTTACATTTATTGGAATCATACCCACCATTGCCATTATCACGACCATAACCATCATCTTAATATCACAATTGGCAGAGAGAGAGAGAGAGAGAGAGAGAGAGAGAGAGAGAGAGAGAGAGAGAGAGAGAGAGAGAGAGAGAGAGAGAGAGAGAGAGAGACGGACAGACAGACAGACAGACAGACAGACAGACAGACAGAAACAGACACAGAGCACGAAAGAAAAATAGAAGTTCCTCAGTTCCTCCTGGGTGTCGCGCCCATGAGCAGACGCCGCCCGGGGGGGTCGTTCCTTGGCCTTGACACCGGCGCGAAGTCCAAGAATTTGGCGTAAGTCGTATAAAACGCTGACATCTTGGAGCAGGTCCCGCGGTGGGCTTGCCGGCCGACCAGCCCGTCCGCGGCGCTCTCTTGGCGGGGAGATTTTGGCGCGCTTCTGGGACGTTGCGGCGCGGGGGGAGGGGGGGAGGGGTCGTCTATTCTCATATATCTACGTTTGCACTTCCTATTAAGTATGTATCCCTATATATGCTTACATATATGGATGTACAGACACGCGTACACATGTAAACGCACAAGCAAATGCACAAACGCAGGCAGGACTAACAAGAATGATAAAAAGAAAAAAAAGTAAAAAAATATGCAGTACTTTCTCTTCCTCTTTCCCACCTCCCCCCCCTCTGACTCCACGCGGCGCAAACATCCACCACTACCTAAACCACGTGAAGAGTTTCACGTATCTTGTGTTTCGTGTTAAAGATTGAAAGGAGAGGAGTAGGAGGATGGGGTGGGAGGGGGAGGGGGGGCAGGAGTGTGTGGGAGGAGGCGCGGTGGAGGGGGTGGGGGGGTGAGAGGCGCCGCCTGTCTTAAAGCTGCGCTGCCGTGGCCGCTGCACAGCACTTTAAACATCACTTCTAAATATACTGCAAGACCAAGTTATTCCCTAACT